CAGTTTAGGTTTTTGGGAGGCAGAAGCGGAAGGACTGCAAGTCCAAGGCCATCTTAAGGAGATGACAACTTAAGGAGACCCTGTCTCAAAAAATAAAAGGGGCTGGGGCCTTGGCTCAGTGGAGAGCCGCCCTGGGTTTGCTCCGGGTACTGCCAAGAACACAAACCCTGGCCTCCCCGTTTCCCTCCACTGCTGGCTTCCAGGGTCTCTCCTGGCYTCCCCACGCTGCCTGCAGTCATCCCCACCCTTGGCCACCTCTAATCCAGGCCGGCCCTTCTCCACAGCTGGAGGCCCAGACGCCTGGCCCTTGCTCCCACTGCTGGCCACGGATTCTCTGGGCAGCAGGTGGGCTCTGTGAATCATGCCGAGTGGTTGTTTGGGGCGTGAGTTGCAAGGTGGCACTGCAGCAGGCCGCGGGCACTCCCAGCTTGTTCCCCGAGCTCCCTGTGGCTGGAGACTTCATAAAGGGTTGGGTTCCTTGTTTTGACCAAGGAAAAAGGCCAGTTGGGGTGTGGCCCAGTGGATGGTTACTTTGAGGCCCTGGGTTCCATGTCCAGCATCACAAAACGAGTAGATAGAAAAGACGGTGTGCTGGCAGCACTGCCCCATGTGCGGGTGGCAGAAACGCCCAGATCAAGGAGAGCAGGGTTGACCTGTGGTTGGGGGAAGATGGCTTGGAGCGTTTGCCAGGTTCTCCCTAGCTCTGCCTGGCAGCAGCACCCCAGAGGGCAGTGTGCCTGCCTGGCAGCTGGCCAGACCCTGTTCCCATGCCTGCACGCTCGGTGCTCCCCAACCACACGCGACACCAGCCAAGTCACTACTGGCTTCCCCCACCAGGCCGTTGGCCACAGAGAACCCGCCTGAGTCCCCACTCAGTGAGGCGCAGTGCTGTTTTCTAGTTCGGTACTGGGAATGGGACGTGGAACCTGGCACATGCTAGGCAGGCGCCCTGCCGCCCCGCTGCACCCCAGCCCTGAGGCCATTAGTTATTAATTCGGGGTCCTGGGCAACCGCCTGCCAGCTCATCCTGTGGAATTCTCCCCATCGGACTGGCCCTGGCCCTGGGACAGCTGCATTTCCTTCTCTGCTGAGTGCTGGGGGCTCCGGGGCGGGGCAGGTAAGGGCAAAACAGGTTTGTAGAGCTGGCCGCGCCTCAGGCTCCAGGCTGCACCCTGCCCGGAACCAGAGGGAGACAGACGGGTGGCATTCACCTGGAGTGTTTCTGTGACCGGGTGGAGCAGAGTGTCAGCACTTAACCTGTGGCTGAAGGGAAGCTGCTAGTGTGCTTTTCACATTTTATTTTGCTGCGGAGGTGGAACGTGTTTGCTCTCAGTGCCCATGGGTGCTCCCTGGGGCCACTGCTCCCAGACACTCCAGCTGTTATTTGCCCCGGGGTAGGGCTTGGGCTAATCCTGACCACCACCACCCCTGCCCCAACATTTGGCCACATCCGGGAACATTGGTGGCTCTTGGGACTGGGAGAGCTCCTAACCTGGTGTGGGTGGAGGCCACAGTCCAGCACCCTGCAGTGCCCAGGACACCTCCCCAGAGGACAGCCTGGCCCTGAGTCCACAGTTCCAAAGGGSCTAGGCCATCATCAGAGACAGCCCTTACCAGAGCCAGCAAGCTTCTGAGTCCAGAGCCTGGGCCTCGGTGTGAAGGGGATGCTGGCAGGGGCACCCCAGAACCTTCTGGAAGGTGGACGGGTGGGCCCCGGGGCTGAGTCTCCTGGGGCGGAGGTGTGTCTCCGGCAGGAAGCCTGGTGCCGGAACTCACTAAGGACTCCGGCCGGGTTAAGAGGGTTCAGAGGAAGCCGCTACAGGGTTTCCCAGAAAGCCAGCCACAGCGCAGGCTGAGGAAGGAGGAGGCCTAGCTCAAAACGAAACTGGCCGGCCGCCCTGCCCCCGCACGCCACCAGGTGTGCCTGCTCGCACACCTGGAGCAACAGGCCCAATGGGTCCCTGTGCCGCCGGTGCGACCTGTTCTGTGGTCCCTGTGGCAACGTGGCCTGGCTTGGGCTGTGGGGAGGCAGTGGAGAGGCTGGGCATGCGGCCGCGGGGGCCTGAGGGCCAAGCTCAGGGTTCTGCCCAGCTTCCCAGGCGACAGCCTGAAGCCCACAGAGCCGCACCTGGGGACAGGCCTTGCAGCTGAGGGCGGGCTGGCCAGGGGAGGACCCACCCACAGCCACCACCTGGGCCTCAGGCTCCAGGCACTCAGCCCTCTGGGCAGGGGGCTCCCTGTAGTCCCCGACCTGTGAGCTAAGGGGAGGTCCTGCCCCTCTGCCCCTTGGTTACCCTGTGTGCGGAGGCTGAAGGAGACAGCTCCTAGGAAGGAGCCCATCCTTGGCCCTGGGGCCTGTGATACCACAGCCACCCTTTCCCGGGTGCCCTCATGAAGTGGGCCAGACGGTCTCCTGTCCCCATGTCATCTCTGTGGCCCTGAGCCCCAGCGAGGTGAGGTGACTTGTGGTTCCATGATCCTGCTGTCCACCTAACTCCAGTACACAAACACGGGGCTCCCCCACAGCACCTGTGGGGGCCCCAGAAGACCAGAGACTGGCCCTCTGCTAAAGCCCAGTTGGGTTGAGGTGCCAAGGTCCAGAAGTAAGGAGAGAGCCCGCTGCAGCCTCGGGGACGAGGCGGAGCCCAGACAGCCAGGCCCCCGGGGTGGGGGCAGTGTCCCAGGCCAAGCAGCTGCTGAGCAAGGCTGGCAGTGGGTCCCCGGGAGCCTTGCATAGCCAGTCCCTAGGCCTGGGGGCTGGGAAGCCCCCGCCCAGCCCAGCACCCACCCTTTAATTTCTTGGGGGGGGGGTAGAGAAGGGTGGGCAGGGGCACTCCTTGGCAGTTGCCAGCGGGAACTCGTCAGCCGGTCAACCCTCTGTGGCTTTGGGGGGAGCAATAGGTAGTGGCCCCGGGGAAGCCTGACCACTCGGATACCTCGTGAAGAACTTTGAATGTTGGCCCTGCTTGGTGGCCTCGCCTGTCATCCCAGTGACTCAGGAGTCTGAGGCAGGAGAATCACAAGTTCAAGGCCAGCCTCAGCAACTTCGTGAGACTGGCTCAAAATAAATCTGAACAAGGGGCTGAGGACGTGGCTCAGTGGCAGAGCGTGTCTGAGGCCCTGGGTTCCCTCCAGCTCCACAAAAAGTAAAGAGGACACTGTGGGCAGCGTTGAACTGTCCCTCCTGTGGGGAGCCCCAGAGGGACAGAGGGTTTCCCCAGCCTCCCTCTAGGTGGGAAGAGGGGGCAAGTGTGGACACCCCTCCTGGCTGTGGGGTCGCTGGACAGTGGCCAGGAAGGCTGGAGGTGTCGGGGACGATGACTGTCACCCCATGGGTATTCTCCCCACACTGGCCTGTCCCTGCCCCTGAGCCCCCTTCCTCTCACACTGAGCCCTCAGCCTCCTCAGGCCTCATTGGACCCCTGCTGACTGGCTTCAGCCACCCTGTGCCCCCCATCTGGGCCCCCACCCCCAGGACGCAGGAAGCCAACGTCCATTCCGGGTGCTGGCCTCTGAGCCTCTTCACCTGGGTCCCTCAGGACGTAGCCACCGCCTCCTCCCTGCACTGCCCCATAACCTCCCTAGGTGCCCGACTGCAGGGGGTCTCTGCCTCTGGTGCCCAACACCCCCAGAGTGCAGCGAGGGGGAAATGACCTTGACTCAGGGTAGCGTCCTGTGGGTGCAGAGCCAGGCTGGGTGAGGAGGCAGTCCTCCCTCTCATGGGCTGGGAGGAAATGGTGGCCCCCAGTGAAGGTGCTGCTGCCGCTCACCCCACGCACGATGTTGGGGAGGGAGCCCCAGAGCAGGGCGGTGCACCCGCCTCCCCTCGCTGCTCCTCCTCCTGGCCCCCTTCTCCCCCTGTCCCTGCTCCCCTGTGGCTCTCAGCAGCCCTGCCCCCCACAAGCTCTGAGGTCAGCCCCCAGGTCCCAGGAGCCTGGCTGGGGACAGCACAGGGCCTAGGGGTGGTTGGGGGCAAGTGGAGCCACCCGGGCCGAGCCCACCGCATCACCTCCAGGAGCCCTGTCTCCTGTCTCGCATCGTAGGGCACGTGATTTTTTACATAGAACAAATAACATGGCTTTCTGTTTTTTATTGCGGGACAGGGTCCCTCTAAGTTACTCAGAACCTTGAATTTGCGACCTTCTTGCCTCAGCTCTCAATCCCTGGGATTACAGGCCTGTGCCATTGCACCCCAGTTTTTTTTTGTTGTTTTGGTACCAGGGATTGAACTYGGGGTTCTCGACCACCGAGCCACACCCCAGTCCTATTTTGTATTTTACTTAGAGACAGGGTCGCACTGAGCTGCTCAGCGCCTTGCCATTGGCTAGGCTGGCTTTGAAGTCACCATCCTCTTGCCTCAGCCTCCCGAGTCTCTGAGATTATAGGCATGCACCACTGCGCCCAGCTGCACCCCGGTTTTTTAATTGGAAAAAAATCAACTTTATTTATTTATTTTTGCAGTGCTGGGGTGGAGCCCAGAGCCACCTCGTGCTAAGCAGCGTCCTGCCGTCCAGCCCGCCATTTTTATTTTTATGTGCCGATTTTCATAGTGGGCTTTTCACCCTCAGAAGAGGCCAGGCCCTGGTGTAGCTGGCTGGGGGTGGGGGGCACGACAATTGTGCTGGGCAGTGCCACCTGCCTTCTAGGCTGGTTCACAGCAGCTGGACTCAGGACACCACAGAGGGGTCACCCCATGTCCTGAGTGAGGGGATGCACAGCCTGGCCCATTCCCACCTGGAGCGTCCTAGGCCACAAGGAGGAGCGAGGTGACAGCTGCAGTATAGATGGACCTGCGGACCTCATGCTCAGTGAGAGCCAGACACACAAGGCCACAGTGTGTGACCCAGTGATACTCCTATCCACGTATCCAGAGACACGTGGATCCAGGGGTGCAGGGCTGGGGGGGGGGCTTCTTTAGGGTGACAGAGTGTTCTAGAATTAGTGGTAAGAGGGGCACAGCCAGGGAACTCCTGGGTGGCGGTATTACAGGTGACTTATCTCAACAGAGCCATTTTTAAAGGCCCCGCCCTCCCACGGTCTGACACACACCAGCGGGCCTGGCCATCTAACCTCCCAACGGTGACTCGGCCACAGTCCCCAACACCTGGCCAGCCTCGCCCGCGGCGGGTGCTGGGCACAGGAGGTGAGGGGTGGGCCCTGCCCAGGGACGCCCTGCAGAGGGACAGGGCAGCCCGCCGCCACCTGCCGCGAGCCGCGGATGGGGCGGGGAGCCTCCGGGTCGCGGCGGAAGCGCGGGCCTGGGAACGGGCAGGTGCGCTGGGCTCCCCGGGCGGCGGCCTCCAGCCGGGCAGTGCTCACCCGCCCGCTCCGCAGCAGGAGCAGCAGCCTCCTTCCCGGGGTTTCTGGGCCCAGGGTCCCCCGCTGGCCGCGAGGGTGGGCCCCTGCCCTTGCCCCGCCCCCGCCCCCGCCCGCGGGGACACGGCAGGGCTGTCCCCGCCGCGCACAGGGCCCAGGTCGCCCCACCACCCCGCGCAGCGTGATTCTGAGCCCCGCTTTGGGGAGGAACAGGAAAGGATGCCACCGTGAGGAGGGGTGGGCTTCCCCTGCTCAAGGTCACACAAGGCAGGCTTGACCTTGACCCCTTGGCAACAGGGAAGTCAGGAAAGGGAGCCGGCAGCAGCGGCACCTGCAGGGGACCGGGACGGGCGCTGGGCCCCCGCGACCACCCCGCCCTGCACCTGCCGCCGCGAGTGCGGTGCGCGCGCCCCCAGCCCGACCCCCACACCAAAGGGAAACTGAAGCCCGCGCCCCAGGGGGAGCCCACGTGGCAGGCGGCGGGAGGGAGGGAGGGAGGGAGGAGTCCCTCTCTAAATTGCGGCGATTTTTAAAAAAAGACAGAACCCGGGACTGGCCACACCAGAAGGCTGCCACGTTCTCCCCTTCTGCACCCGCCCATGCCTGAAGCCCAGGGGCCACTTGTGACCCTGCGCAGCTGCGGGAGAGGGCTGACCTCGTTCATCCGGAGTCCCTCTCCAGGCTCCACTGCTCCCAGACAGGTAAAGCTTAAGCCCGCCCACCCCCCAGAGCGCCCTGGCTGCAGAACAGTTCCCCTGGGTCCCTGTCTTGTCCACCTAGCACAGAGGGGGAAGAAGCAAGCAGAAATGCAGGACTGAAGTTAGACTTCAGTTAGGACTTCTCTCCTGGGCCCCACAGACATGAGGCCATGTCATTCTCTGGGTGGGCACCCTGGGCATTGCAGGGTTCTCAGCAGCACCCCTGGCCTTGATCCACTCTGTGCCAGGAGCATGTGATAACCATAAATGTCCCCAGACACTGCTCGTGTCCCCTGGAAGTCAGGATTGATCCCCAGGTGAGATCCATAGCCCTAAGTGGACCAGACTATGGACAGCTGTAGGCAAGTGGGGCTCTGAGCCAGGCCTTCACCCTCAGTTGGAGCACATGCCACAGTTCTGACAGGACCTAGGAAGTAGCCCAGGAGGCCAGCGCCCCTGGGCAGAGGGGCTGGAGCTAGGTGACGGCAGGGCCCTTCAGCCTGAAGGGCCCATTGCACAGACGGGAAGACTGAGCTGTGGGTGAACCTAGCATCAGCCCAGAGCAGCTCTCTGTGCTACCTTCTGGGTGAATACAAAGTAAGCTCCCAGCCCCCAGGTGCCAATGCCCCTCCAGATGTCTGCCCGGGTGTCAACTCAGGGGCTGCCAGTTTGCTGCTCAGAACATATTCCTCCTATGATGCGCAGGGCTGTCTCGGGGTCAGCAGGACTGGGGGCACGTGGGGTACCCCAGTGAGCAGCACTTTGCCAGCCAGTGCTGAAATATTCCCACACCTGCACACCCAGTTTAGCCACCCTGGTGGCTGCTCCAGTGTTAGCGGTCCGCAGAGCCAGGCGTGGCGGCACACGCCTGTGATACCAGTGACTCAGGAGGCTGAGGCAGGAGGATGGCAAGTTCAAGGCCAGCCTTAGCAGCCTAGTGAGACTTTGTCTCAAAATAAAAAATAAAAAGGGCTGGGGATGTGGCTCTGTGGTTAGGTGCCCCTGGGTTCAATCCCCAGCACAAAAAAAAAAAAAAAAAAAGTCAGCTGTAACTATCCGCTCCTTGGAGAGGGAGCCCAGGGGACTTTGCCGTGAGCCTGAAGGGACGCGCTGGAGGGGGCTGCACCCAGGAACCCTGCAGGCCAGCTCACCTGGCTACTCTCTACCCATTGTGAATCCAGGGTTATTGGAGCTTGGGTTTGCAATGTTCCTGACACAAAGTAAGGGTGCACTGGCAAACACCACGGAGGGACCTGGTCGGCACCAGGGTCCACTCCTCTCGGTTCTTTTCTCTTTTTCAGAGATGTGTTCTGCCATGTCGCCCAGGCTGCTCTGGAACTCCCGGGCTCAAGTGATCCTCCTGCCTCCGTCTCCCAAGTGCTGGAACAGGCATGTGCCACCCAGCCCAGCCATTGTAGTCCATTCCAAGTGCACAGCTCAGTGGTATTAAGTGCATTCCCGTCCCCACTGTAGGTCTCCAGAACTTTCCATCACCCCACACTGCCCCTTTCAACACGAGCCCCCACCTCCTATTTCCTGCCTCGGTGGCTCTGGGGGCTCCAGGAGCTTCATGCAGGAGGATCCTGCAGCGTGTGGTGTGTACTCTGACTCATTTCCCTGGGTCCATCCACACTCCTGTAGGTGTCAGGATCCCTTCCTTTTTAAGTCTGCATGATATTCCAGTGAGTGGACAGGCCGCATCCGCATCGGGTGTGTCCGCTCGTCTGTGCACAGACGTTTGACTTGTTTCCACCTGTTTATTTATGTATTTACTTGTTTATTTTTGGTACTGATTGAAGCCAGAGGTGCTTAAGCACTGAGCCAAATCCACAGCTCTCTATTATTATTTGAGGMAGGGTCTCACTAAGTTGCTCAGGGCCTCACAAAGTTGCTGCAGCTGGCTTTGAACTTCCRCTCTGCAGCCTCCCAAGGCTCTGGGATCACAGGCGTGCGYCACCGAGCTCCACTGTGCCCACGTCAGCTGCTGTTGGCACTTTGGAACCAGACTCCATCAGACTCCACCCGAAGTCTTCCAGAAGGTTCTCCTGATGTTGTGCTGATCTGCCTCTCTGGGAGTTTAGTGCAGGGCATGCTCTTTTCTCTCTCCAGTGCTGGGACAGAAACCCAGCCTCAAGCTCCCTAAACAGTGCTCGGCCACTGAGCCACACCCTGGGCCCAAGTTTCTTTCTTTCTTTCTTTTTCTTTTTCTTTTTGGTGATACTGGGGATGGATTCCAGGGGTACTCTGCCACTGAGCTGCACCTCAGACCAACCTTCCTGAACTGGACAGACCTGGCATCTCACATGCATTCATTTCCAAGATGGTTTCTGCAGCTGAACAGCCTCCCTCCTTCCACCAGCTCACACAAGAAGCAGACTCTCGTGGCTGTGGGACAGCGTCCACTCCACGCCCTTGTTTATCAGGTGGTTAAATATTTTGAATATCAATCTTGGATATTTATTCACCCAAACTCCTATTACATGACATTTGGATCATCGCCTCTATTTTGCTTTAATAAATAATGCTACCTTTTGAACATCTTTGCATCTAAATTTTGTTTTCTTTTTGGCACCAGGGATTAAACCCAGGGACTCTTAACCTCTGAGCTACATCCTCAGCTCTTTTATTTTTTATTTTGAGGCAGGGTCTTGTTAAGTTGCTGAGGTTAGACTCGAACTTGCCATCCTCCTGCCTCAGCCTCCCAGGTCACCGGGATCACAGACATGGCCACCACACGCGGCATGCGTTTGAATCTTGAAGTGCATCCTTCATTATCTTCTCTGGATAAATTTCTAGATCAGAATCTCTGAGTCAAAGGTGATGCATATATTTAGGCATTTGGTAGCTATTTGGTGAAGCGGCTTTTTTTTTTTTTTTTTTTTAGGGGGCAGATGTGGGTGTGTGTGTTTAATAGGGGCATAAAGTCAATGATAAAATGCACTGCTAGCGCACAGCAGTTGTTTGACAAATGCATACAGCCACCCCACCTCAATCTTTGGTTTCTTTCTTTTGTTTACCTGTTTGTTAAAAAAAAAAAATTGTGAAAATTGTACCCAGGCCACTTTACCACTGAGCTACATCTAAGAATTTTCCAGGCTGACACACACCTAGGATCAGTGACTCAGGAGGCAGAGGCAGGAGGGCCACAGGTTTGAGGCCAGTCTGGGCAATTGAGCAAGGTCTATCTCAAAATTTTAAAGCGAGTACACAAGTAAATACATAAACAAACCCTCTAGGTGCAGTCCCTAGTACTGCTCCCCCCCAAAAAAAAAATGTACAATTCAGTAGTATTTCTTATATTCAGAATTGAGCCAGCATCATCTCTATCTAGAACATTCTATCACCCTAAAAGAAACTCTTCCCCATGAGTAGTCACCCCATCCGCTCCCCAGCCCCCTGCATCCAAGAGTTCACTTCCAGGCTGTGGACTCTCCTTCCCTGGGTGGTTCCTGTCAACGGAGTCACACACTGTGTGTCCTTTTGTGTCTGAAAGGTCCTCAAGTTCCACCCACGTGGTGTCAGAGACGTGCTCCTTTCCCCAGAGGAAACCATGACACTTTAAGCATGAAGAAGTCCATGGCTGGGGGTGTGGCTCGGTGGAAGAGCTAAAGTCCAAAACACTCACCGTGGTGACCCCCGAGGCTGGCTGCAGCCCCCTGGCTACTGGGCTGCTCCTGGAATAAGCAGCTCAGGCCCACCTCAGGGCCTTTGCCTGCGCTGTGTCTCATTTCTAAGTGGTCACCTGGCTGTCTTCTCCTTTAGATCTCTGCTTGGAAGCAGTCTCTCTGAGGTCCATTTAAAAAAGTGCTCCAAGGCAAGAAACTGCATGTTGGCCTATCCCGAGGGACATCTATACATTCCCCAGCCCACTTTTATATTTATTTAGAGTCCCACTGTGTTGTGCTGAGGCTGGCTTTGAACTTGACATCATCCTGCCTCAGCCTCCTAAACTGCCTTTTGCTATCTTTGAACTACTTCTGGACTCCCCAAGTTATAGAAAACTGATAGTAATGGCCATCAGTTCTTGTTCAAGAAAAGCCACGTTCATTCAGGACAGCACATTTTACTTCTATTTGTAAATACCTTCTTGCGTTTCTTGTTTGTCGACAGGTAGTTCTTCAAATCCTCCTTAATTTGGTTTAACATCTTACTGGTTTCCTCATCAGATTATGATTAGTTACATAAAATTTTTCAAAGATATTCAGTGATTTTAAAAGTTAAATGTTCCTAGGCCCTAACTACCATCTTTCCTATCTTTCTGCTTTACTTTCTTGGTTGCAATTACTTTCTGGAATTCTACTTGATTATTTTTTATCAATCTTGGTTTATGTTTTTAAATAAATATCCAAACCATTTGCTAATCCTCCGTGTCATTTGTTGGTTTATTTTTTGTGCTGCTGGGGAGGACACCCTGGGCCTCTAGCACGCTAGGCCATGCTGTCCCACTGAGCCACATGCAGACACGCCTGCCTACCTTCCTGGAGATGTAGGTGGGAGTGGGGGAACTTTAACCATACCAGGTGCCCCAGTCAGTAAATAAGAAATACAATGCTGTGGAGATTTTCCTCCAGATCTTCCCTCTGAAGGGAGCCAAGATGACCGACAGGCAGAGTAGACTGTGTGGCTTCCAGGCAGATGAACTGCTAAACAGAATGTTCTAGAATTGTCATAGGGACCCATCAGGCTCAGAAACCCTGGGTACTAGAATTTTCCTGGATCTCTCTCTCTCTCTCTCTCAACCCCTGCCCCCCATCTCTGTCTCTCAGACTTTCCTCTGGGGGTGTCACCTCTGATTCCCAAAACCAGGTGTGAATTCTTGTACAATCTTGAGGCCTAAGTCCCCCAGCTCTGCAGTGTCAGAGAGAGCAGCCAGGGAAATTCCTTGATCTCCTCTTCCCTGGGGTCAGAGAAGAGAGAACACTGAAAACCAGAGCAAAAACGTAGGACATCTGACCCAGTGCCTAAGGACCGTTGACCCCTGGTTCACCTGCCATCTCCCGAGGACTTGACGGAGATATGACACTCACCGTTGGTAAACGGGGGCCGAGAAAAGAAAAGCAGCTTGGGTGTGTGTGCACATGTGTGTGCTCAGCAGGAAGAGCAAGAGGCTCAGAGCCGGGCCCAGGCTCACGCCCTCCCCACCTTCAGCCTCAGCACCTGGGTGGCTTCTGTTGTACCTGAGTTTGGGGGAGGGGTGTCAGGGACTGAAGCAGGGACCGTGCCAGTGCTCCACGCCCCAGCCCTGTCTCTTGCTGGCACAGGGCCTCCTAAGTTGCCCAGGCTGGCCTGGGCCTTGCCATCTCCCTGCCCAGCTTCCTGAGGAGCTGGGGTTCCAGGTGTGTGCCACCCTGCCAGGTGGCAGACGTTCTTTTAAACCCCCCTGGGCATGGGGCTGGAGTTAGGGCTCCGTGGTAGGGGCACTTGCCTGGCATGTGGGAGGCCCTGGGTTCGATTCTCAGCACCACATATAAACACATAAAGGCCCATTGACAACTAAAAAAATATTTTAAAAATACCCTGGGCATTTTGAAGATTAAAAAGACCATGAAGCCAAAAGCACTGGTGCCTGTAATCCCAGTGGCTCAGGAGGTTGACACAGGAGAATGGCAAGTTCAAAGGCGGCCTCAGCAACAGCAAGGAGCTAAGCAACTCAGTGAGGCCCTGTCTCTACATAAAATGCAGAATAGGGCTGGGATGGGGCTCCGTGGCCAAGTGCCCCTGAGTTCCATCCCTGGTATCCTCCCCAAAGAAAATAAATAAAAAGACCATGCAGACATGAACTTTGTAAACTAAAAAATGCTTCCTCTCCATCAACTAATGATTTTATGTGTGTGTGTGTATGTGTGCATATATATATATATATATATATATATATATATATAATATCTCCTCTGAGATATAATTGGTGTGCCATGGAATTCACTCGTCTATTTCTTATTTAGTTATGTATTTTTTTTTTTTTTTGGAACTGGGGATGGAACCCAGGGGTACTTTACCTGAGTTACAGGGTCTTGCTAAGTTGCTGAGGCTGGACTTGAACTTGTGGTCCTCCTGCCTCAGCCTCTGGAGGCTGGGATGACAGGCTTGGCTCATTTAAAAAAACATTAAATAAATACAACTTTTTTTATTTATTCATTTTTTTAATGTGGTGCTAAGGCTTGAACCCAGGGCCTGGCACATGCTAGGCAAGTGCTCCACCCCTGAGCCCCAGCCCCAGACCCTGGCTCCCCCTTTAAAGGGTCCAGCTTAGTGTTTCTACTATATTCCAGGACATTCTCAGGACCCAAAAAGAAGCCCTGACCCCTCCCAGCCCCTGAACCCACGAATCCACAAATCCACTTCCTGTCTGTAGACTCCCCTGTCCTGGATGTCCCCTGCAACTGGGTCACCCTCTGTGGCCTTGTGTGTCTGGCTCTCACTGAGCACTAGGTCCTCAGGTCCCTCCACACTGCTGAGGTGTCCCCTTGCTTCCTGGCCGGGGAAGCTCGGGGTGGCGTGGGCCACCCTGTGCACCCGTGCGTTAGCTGTCCACATTTGAGTCCCTTGGTGATCATGGCGAATGGCCCTGCTGTGGCCCTCGCCCTGTGTGTGTGGACAGCTGGCCTGCTCCTGCCGGTGCTTACTTAGGTGTGGCACTCCAGGTCCCAGGGCGCCTGCTCCCTCCACCTTCCCAGGGGCCCCAGGCCGCTTCCCAGGCGCAGGCTCCCGGAGTCCCTGCCCGGGCCCGCGGAGGAGCTGGGTGAGTGGGACCAGGGTCGCCAGCCGCGGGGTCCCTGGTGGTGGGTGCAGCCGAGCATTTTGGCGTCTGACGGCCGCGGCCTATTCCTGGTTGAGAAATGTCTACTGAGTCCTGGACCCACGTGTGATCACCATCTTTCTGTTGTAGAGCTTGAAAGGCTCCTGGGTAGCAGGGCGCTGACCCTTCCAGGCCTCCTCTTCGCTCTGGAGGCTGAAGGGTTAAGTCAGGGTGCTCTAAAGGTTTTTCAATTTTATTGTGATGAATAGGTACAGGACACAAAATCCAAAAGATCCCAAGAGGACAGCAGGAGCTGGACCTCACCCTGCCCCCTCCCAGGCTCCAGCGGCCCCCTGGAAGCACACTGGTGGCTGCAAGAATTGTTTAAAACATTCCGTAGGAGGTGGGGACACAGCTCAGGGGGTGGAGGGCCTGCCTCGCAGGCACAAGGCCCTGGGTTCAATCCCCAGCACCGCCAACAAAACAGAACCAGGACGTTCTGTAAGTTTTCCTTCCCTTCCCACTGCACACCCAAAAGCACAGACCTCCACTGATGACCTACAGTAGCCTGCATGGCCATCTAGGGCAGGACCCAAATAATAATGACAGAATGACATCTGTCACCTACAAGGAGGCTGTTCCTTGTGCAGATACTGCTGTTACCTACTCTTGTTACAACACTAGGAAGTCTCTTCAATTTACTCTCTCCAAAGGATTCAAAGGATCAGAAAGGCTAAGTAACCTGTCCAAGGCCGCACAGTAATTAAATCATTTACTT